CTGGTAGTAGCTGATTGATTGCATTGCTCTAACTCAGGACATGTTTTGCAACGAGCACCCATACCGGCTACATCTGACCGAGCTAGAGTCTATAACCCATACAGCCGATACTAAATTAAACAACTTCAATGAAACCTGATAAAATAAAAACTTATATATCTATAATAATAATAAGTCTTAAAATAATAAATCAAATAAATATGCAAAATAAGTTGCTTTCCTAACACCGATTAAATTGATTCCCATACTGGTAATAAGAGATTCGAACCTCCATCATGTTGCGCGCCTCGTCATATTCAGCAGAACAGAAATCAAATAACAATGCCTTAGCACATACCTGTGCGAATAATATTCGTATGTGCCTTATGATATATAAATGAATTAAACTCCTACATATACAAACCCTCTGTTCGGAAAACTGGCACCGATTACAGACACCACCACACCGCTGCTACTTTACACTCGTAAACGTAAAGGATGGTAACCGCCACTTCTTCACTCTTCGCGAAACAACAGCGATTTGGTATGAATTTTTGTATGCACATCGATAGCGACGCGTTTCCTTACTCATTTGCCAAATAGAATCGGACATTGGCGATTCAAACTGACACATCGTTTCACTCAACATCAGGTGGAATCGTTTCCATTTAACATTAACAACTGATATAAAATTAGTATGTTTTAATGTCCTTATTCGGAATCAATCATTCCTTACGTAAAGTAATGTGTAAATTTGGATGATGATACGAAAATAGACTTACAATGTACTTCTCTTCCATTTTCAGTCTCTGCTTCAGCTAGCTTCCCTACAACAATTTGAACCTTATGGACTATTTACCATGAAGATAAGGACTAGAAACATTGTTTATTTTGTTATAGAGCACCTGTATGGTTCTACAATGCTGAAATCAGGGTTCTTTACTATTTGAGTATTCATCAAACGGAAATCTGGTTATGTTTCGCAGGTCTCTGTAAGCAAAGGGAAAACGATTCGAACTTGTTGATTTTGTCAGAGTGATGACATTCAGAAATTTAAGCCTCCAGAAATTCAAACCATATGCGCGTAAATCGGTTTTCCTCCGTTGTAGAAATGTATGATCAGATGCGGATATGTAGTGCTCAGCAACAAAAAGGTAGAAAATTTGTGTGTATTGCCGTTTATATTTTATAGAAACAGATTTTATTTACAAATACGAGTACTAGTACGTGGTAATTAAATGTATATGAATGGAACCTTACTTTTACCACAACTTTATGAGCGTTTTATGACTTAGTTCAATTATATTCCCAATTTTGTAGATGAAACTTCAAATGGGAGTTCGGAAAAGGTTGTTA